AAGCGGCAGAGCAGACATTCCCACCTCGGCATCCTGCTCCGACGGTTCTTGCCGCGACTGCCGCTGGGCCTGCACCATCACGCCGGTGCAGAGGAGCAGGGCGATCAGCAGGATGGTATTCCACAGCTGCTGCAGGTATTTCTGCAGAAACAGCACCAGTCACGGACCAGAGTCCCCCCCTCCCCTCCCTGCCATCACCAGCACCCACGGGGAGCCAGCACCAGCACACGCACCTGGACCTGCGAGCTGTTCTCCCCAGGGCAGATGACCCCCTGCCACTCCCCATAGAGGCCCCCTCGGGAGAGGCCACAGGTCGACCACAGGGTGAGCGTCACCCCCTGCAAGGCAGCAGATGGCATTGCCCACAGCCCTGACGGGTGCTGCCGAATGCCGGGGTCGGGGGGGATGGAAATCACATTTGTCGAGGGGAGGAGGAACCGCAGCGGCTGGCAGGGGCTCTGCTCTCCCCAAGGGCGAGGCAGCAGTAGCTTCAAATGCCTTTGGGGATGTGGCTCCTGCTCCCAGCAGCTCAGCTTCCCCATCAGTTGAGGGGGAGAGGAGGAGGAGGGCCTACGTACCAGGTTCTCCAGCAGCACCGCCTGGTATGTGATCTTCGCCGTAGCCCGCAGCCCCCTGTGAGTGAAAGGCAAGGAGAGCCTCAGCCCCACAGGCACAGCAGGACCCGACCTGCAGCCCCCCAGTGCTGGGAGCCCCACTTCACCCTGGGTATGGGCAGCCCACGCTGAGCTGTGGGGCCACCACGGAGGGAAGACCACGCAGGGGAGGTGACAGCGAATGTTCCCCGTCCCAGCTGTGCCCAGCCCTATGAGCAACCCTGCACGGGTCTCTTCCTCCCAGCACCATGCCTCAGTTTCCCCATCTGCCACACCACAGCAGCAATACTGATTTACCACGTGGAAGCAGGACCAAGGAAGTCTCAACACTGCAGGCAGTGGGGACAAACACTGGCAAAGGTGGTGGGGATGCTGCTGTCATGATAACCAAGTGATAACCAGCTCGCAACCAGCTGGTCTGGCTAACGTGTACCAAGAGTCCTGAAGGGCTGAGCCAAAGCCCCCGTCAGCCCTTGCCACTGTGTGGGGACTCATGGAAGGGCTCAGGCCCCGAGGAAGGAGTGGATCCGACTCTCACTCCCCCTGGAAACGCACAACCCAGCCCCTGCTGGCCTCTGTGATGTGCGAGCTCAAAACCATCCTAGCAAAAGGGAGGAGCTGCGTGCGAGGGTCCCCAAGGCAAGTCCCTGGCTGTCACGGCCACGCAAAGGACCGGGCAGGGCACCAGGCAGGGGACCAGCTCCAGCTCTGTCCCACCCTCTCCCCTGCCCCTGCCCATACCGCAGCAGCGCTCCCAGCAGCTTGGTGACATTGTCCGAGGACTGGATCACGATCACAGGTTTGGCGAGAAGCTGGGAAACGTCCAGCTACACCAGAGAGGAAAGCAACAGCCGTCAGCGGGGCACAAGAGCAGCTCGGGGACCCGCCGCTGGCACAATCCTACCTCCCGGATGGCGTTCTGGTTCAGCGCCAGGATGAGCAGGGCTGATGCCCCCAGCACCAAGGCTCGCTTCATCTGCGGAAACGGAGGGCGGGGGCTCAGGGGCAGCGCAGGCAGGAGGACAGCAGCTGGAG